AGCGATACTAGAATAATATAATATGAAGGTAGTGATTGATTTGTGCTGTTGATATAAAAGCAGGACTGAATATAGTGAAACCACCGACTGCAGGAAGGAACACGATGTTTAAAAACAACCAACACGATGTCGTGCTGCGCTGTGACGTTCGCTGTGATTTGCAGTTGAGACCACAGACGTGTCCTTTAATTGATTGAGATGAAGGCAGGATTTATTCACGTTAGGACCCGGTTCGTAGACGAGGATGAACCCGCCGCAGCGTTCGTGTAATTGTCTGACTGCACGTTTGTTTTTGTCTGGAGAGAAAAGTGAAAAACAAAGACGAGTTGTAGTCTGATAATCAGAGGTTTGCTCAGACGCTCGGCTCTGTTTGCTCAAACAAATGCAGACGAGGACAATTCCAAGGTGTGAAAACAAGAATTTTAACAAACTTTGCTCCACAGATGAGAAGTTAAAAAGACAGTTTTAGTTGGAGTGAGTTTAAAGACACCTGTGCAACAACAAATACCCAAACGTTACGTTCAGTTTATAAATCTGAGTTTAAAAAACACTAACAGGAGCCCGTTTGTAACCCTCACAATGTCAGCGCAGTAACATGAAACAAAAGAAAACTATCCCCACTGTGACATATAAAGTTAAAGATATATAAAGATCCATCAGGCTAAACAGATTAGAAACAATAATACTGCGTTGTGCTTTAAAGACGGATTTAAAACAAACAGACAGGACAACAGAGTAGAAACCTTGCAGACTTTATTATTATTAACAAACTGTCCATTTTCATCTGTACAGAACGACAAAAAGAAACCGAAAAGAAAAAGAAAAGACAGGAAAAAATCAAAATAAAAAATCAAACAGATGATATCAGGAGCTCCGTGGATTCAGACACATTGTTTACAAAAAGATCTTCATCGTCACAAAACTTAAATCAAAATGTTCCAGTCATCATCGCTCGGACAACGAGAACAGCGAGGAACCGACCGGAGATCACGCAGCGGATATAAAGTCTGTGGGCGACACACACACACACACACACACACACACACACCATCCATCACACACACGCACACACACACGCCCACGTGCTCCTCGATTGGGTTGCTGCAGGGGGTTCTGGGATGTTCTGTACAGCGGGATCCCTCGGTGGGACGGCGAGTAGGCACGCTTTGATAAAACCGACGTCACATGGAGAGAAAAAGAAATAATAAAAACAAAAAAAGGCGAATCAGGACGTCTCATTTACAAGCAGGAGGGCAGCGCTCACCACAGCAAGCTTCAACAGTTATTACAAAATAAAGAGCACGAGCCGACTGCACGGTACAGAGCTTACAGTATCATCACGCAGTATAGTACACATGTACACACGAGCTGGGAGAGAGGAGAGCGTCTTTCGTGGCCTTTTCTACATCGAGACCTTCCCGACGCTGAACTTCACACCGAGACCAAAAAGCTCGACGACGCCGCGACTCTCCGACCAAACACCGACCGCCTTCCTCCTCCGGCGTTAACCTGCAGGCTGAGCAGGGAACACGCAGCGCAAACCGCATCTAGAAATAAAAAACTAATACGTACAACCTCGAGTTCGTTCACGACGACTCCGAAACTTTCAATCGTTAGTTTTCGGAACAGGTTCGATTTATAGAATAATAAAAAAAAAACCATCAGACTCGTAAAGTTTCTACGTGTAGAGATTTTAAACACATACGAAGAATTTAGACCTGATGTGCAAAGGCCTTAAGCCCCGCCCCCTTTCTGCTCTGCTCCAATAGCAGTTGAGCAAATCTTCAAAATATGGTTTTCAACATAGATTATCTTAGCATATAGCATCTGTAAGTAATTAGTGTTTGAGGCCCCAATACTGTAGGAGGGGGGGGGGCAGTTATTAAGACCCAGGTTGACAAATGCTGCATTTTCCTTTAAGTATTTCTGTGTAACATTCATCTGATGTGATAAATGAATATGAATATCTGTCCCCACTTGTCTATTTGAAGCTTTACTCAGATGCATGTCAGTTAGTCGTGTACAGTTAAAGATCTCCGCAGTCGGCCACAGAGACATGAAGCCGGGCTCTGGAGTCAGAGGGGCCACAGAGGGCCCACGTGGCTGATGATTACATTTTGTATTCTCCTCCCTCCCTCCCCTCTCTATGTACTAGTTAAAGTCTGGATCTTCTGATTTCCCAGTATCTCAGTGGCAGTGAAGGGGTCGTGTCCACACCTGTGTCCGCCTTACTCCAGAGCGTCTGCGCCGGAGCGTCCACGTCGTCTGCTTTTGGGTGTTTTTAAAAAACAAAAGGAAGGTTGTAAAAGGTCATCAGCCTTGTGTACAGTGGGATGCTTTTCAGAAACAACCACCACAAAAAACCATAGGATAACAGACTAAACATGTACAATACTGTTTATTCAAGTGTTTGCTTTTACTTTTGGTAAATTCAATATAATAAATAAGTTAATGGCTGCTGCTCGGATGTCTCGTCATTGATTTATCAGCTGTTTTTAGTCTTTAAAGGCGGTGGAAAGCACTCATTATTCAGCCAGTAGCTGTAATACGGAATATAAACAGTACACACGAGTACACATACACAATACTTCAGAAATAAGTCATAACTATTCAAACCAGTTCACTCTTTTACACACTTATAGTACAGTTATAGATCACATTTGAGTCTGAGTACATTTATTTTTTGACTATTAATGCTACGCACAACACAGTATATAATATATAATATATATAATATAATTTAAGTATGTATAAAGATGTTATTTTTCAGTGGGTTTTTCCAAAATGTTTTTCACTTTATACTGAGTTCATAATAAAAGAGTTTATTTAAATAGAATCTAAGTCAATATAATAACAAACTTGTTAAGTTATTATTTTGAGATACAAATTCATCATTTTGAGGAAGTTTCTCATTATAATGACTTAGATTCTTCTTTTTTCATCACATTGGCAGAAATAAGCTTCCATACATATTTAATAGAAGTAGAAGAAGTCTTGTAGAAGAAGACAAAGTTAACAGAACTTTATTTAAAAAAAAGAGTTTGATTTGTTGGATTAAAAATAAAAATATACTACTAAAAATATTATTTATATTACGTTCTTACTCACACGAGATGAAGCAATAGTGGGAAACTAATGATAATTATTGATCTCGTGTTATTAACTGTAACTGTGCACACGTGACGCAGTACGCACACAGAATGTATGGTCACATTTCTTGGTGGGTTTAATTTCTTTTATTTTGGTAAATTGTTGAACCTTTCAACTGAAGGAGCTGCTTAACTTCCTGTGAGGTGTGTTTTCACCTATGGACAGTAGGTGGCAGCGCTGTGGAATATTTCACAGTATATTTTAATATACTAATGTATGAGTGTAAAACCAGAGATTTGGATGAATTTTCAGCAGATTATTTCCTGTTAATATTGATCAAAGTTTTCTGATATTTTTAATCAATTCTGTGTCTGTGTTGTTTATTTTTGTTATTAATAATCATAAATACTTTCATAGGCTCCTTTTTTGGCAAATTCAGTCCTACTGGTTTCCTAAACCCCTTAAAATCAAGAAATATATACATATAACTAGCTACTTAATATTAACTAGTTTATAAGCATGCATATTTGGTAATATTAGCTCTTTAATAGTCATTTTAATTCACATATAAATACCTTATTCTGCATATTCTACAACTACTAGGCCATTAATGAAGAGTTTTCCCTCAATAACCTCCTAATTACTGCTGGTTGATTTTCAGTGAAGTACAAATAACTCTAAATGAGTCTTTCTAACTCAGAATATGTTCCTCATTAACAGGGAGTAACAGATTACATGTGACTGAGTTATCAGGATAAAACAACAATGTAATCAGATTACAGTTACATGCTTTAAAATATGGACTATTACAACAATATTAAAATACATCAGTTTTTCTTTAAAAATACTCTGAGCAGAGGACAAACTGTTGATGATAAAATACTGGTTTCCATTTAAATTGTTCTGTTATCTTTTAGGATACATCAATACTTCTTATTAATATTTATTTTCGCTTTATTTGCATTTCGCATTTTGCCGACTATTTGAACAGGTAATCAGTAACTGTATCAGATTACATGTTTAAAGTAATCCTCCAACCCTGATAAAGTGTTACTCTCTATATATTATATAGCAGTGAGACGTTTACTGAGACTTCAACAATAAATCTCAACCTCGTACTGACTGAAAAGCACTTTAGAAAAAGCTTAAATACTCAGAGAAAGTAAAGAAAATGTGGTGTGAAGTGAAAACCAGCAGCTGACACAATGTTCAGATTCTCAGTGGATCTTTATTGGTTGCAAGCGAGAGCCATCATCAGCATTACACAGATGTGAGTGAGGAGAGGCAGTCTGTCCTCAGTTCTTGGAGCACTTTGAGATAACACACATTAACTGGAGCCAACAACAGGATGTTCATGAGTTCACTGCACGTGTTATTGGACCTTTCTTCTCTTCCTTTCTCCTCCTTAAAGTGCTCCACACAAACATCCCGCTGACAGAAGACACAGGAAGAGGTACAGTATCAACCCCCTCCAGGATCAACTCCTTTATAATGAGTTGACTTGGATTTAGTTTCCCAACAGCTTAAACATTGTGATATCATGGTGGATATATCAGACACATCTATTCATAGCAGCAAAAGCAGAATCATACTGAAGAACACATGATAATAAGAGGAATATCCCTCAGAAAGCAGAAAACAACAGGACCCGACTGTGTTTAGTCTGTGATATAGGGGAGGGAGGGAGCTGTTGTACCCCACATTAACCACCAGGGGGCGTCCTCACTCCATTTAAAGGCAGAGCTGTTAGCTGTGTCCCAGTTGTTTACATGGCAGAGAAAAGCTTCACTTACTTTACAAACTC